AAAGACATCTGGAAGTTGGAGTTGGCGCAACGTATAGCGGTTCGGTTTATCTACGGAAAGTATAGAAGGCTGTATTTTCCATATCAAATTATACAGGCTAACGGAATACACACCCTCCAGGCTAGAAGGAAATCAGCACGATTAAAATTATTGTTTCATTTCAAACAAGGGTAGGCTCGCATAGACCCATTGCAATATATTTCCCCTTCGGAGGCAAGATCTACGAAGCACAAACATCAGTTTCCACTAACACCTATTTTTGCGCGTACTACCATGTTTATGTTTGACTCCCCCCCCCCCCCCCCCCCCCTATTAGCGACTGGAACGGCTTACCACTCGAGCTAGTTAACGACACCAACTTTGTATAAAAATCTCGAACGTCTTGATGATTAGCATGTTGCTTTGTATATTGCTGCGCGTTCATCCCTTTCACAGGGGCTTTAAGATTGTATGGACCTTCATACTACATCTGGATAGATCATTTTTCATTACTGCATGATTGCACTAGATGGTGCTTGGTGGTTCCTGTTCCCCCCCCCCCCCCTCCCCCGGGCCCCCTTTTTATATATACACTATATATATATATCCTGTATATTTCCTTGTTGCTTGTTGTAAACCTTTAATGTCGTGATTTTTGTTTGCTGTTGTATGTGCGATTTCATATCTTGTACCCTACTCCTACTTGGGCCTTCAATGGCCTGTAGTATATTCTAAATAAAATAAATAAAATAAAAAAATGCCCACTACAAAATGCAGGTATAAAATAAATAATATATATATATATATATATATATATATATATATATATATATATATATATATAAAGGATGCTCAAGTGATATATGAGTGACGGTCGTATTTACTGCTGAAATACGGCAGAGAGTTGGGCGAGTTGGTTAAGCATCTTAATAGGTGGGAACAGCGCAGGAAAAACCGACGAAGGACGAGTAGAAGAAGTGCACAGACACAGCGCTGACTAACAACTGAATGTTTATTTTCAAGCGAACCAGAAAGTAAACACTGGGTGTGGAAAGGAAAAACCACAGAAGCCAAAAAAAGAGGAGGAAACCCGATAAAACACGACATTACCACGCCATATCACTTTCACACACGTCTGCCACAGTTCCTGATAAAAAACACTTCGTCATCCCCCAAGTTAACCGACGGAGCACTGACGCATTCTTCCTCCCCCCTTTTATATTTTATCAAGGGGGGAGGAAGAATGCGTCAGTGCTCCGTCGGTTAACTTGGGGGCTGACGAAGTGTTTTTTATCAAGAACTGTGGCAGACGTGTGTGAAAGTGATATGGCGTGGTAGTGTCTTGTTTTATCGGGTTCCCTCCTTTTTATTGGCTTCTGTGTTTTTTTTCCTCTCCACACCCAGTGTTTACTTTCTGGTTCGCTTGAAAATAAACATTCAGTTGTTAGTCAGCGCTGTGTCTGTGTACTTCTTCTACTCGTCCTTCGTCGGTTTTTCCTGCGCTGTTCCCACCTATTAAGATGCTGAAATATACGGATAAAATGCGCACCTGGCATCCTGATGGCTCAGTCAAGTAAAAATGTTTTTATTAACTTTTTTTAGTTTGTCTTGGACGCTGATCCGAATAATGTCACTTATAAATATAATGCATCAATATAAAACATCAACCGTCATTTATTGCTTGCAAATGATATATACAGACACATGTTTGCCAAAGCAACATTGGGATTGACTTGCAGCTCCTGACAGTCACCGAAATAAACATCGAGCGAGACAAGTAATAAAAGGAATTAACATAGAGTAATACACGTAATATAAAGGTGCGCCTAAATTAGACAAAAAAATATACTGCCAGGGAAGTCACACTACTAAATAATCAATCATTTAGTAACATTTAATTCTGTATAGCGGAGGGTTTTATAAAACCTATATTTTGCTCTTGAGACATGCGCAAAGGAGCGTAGCTTGTTTAAAAACACGTTCGCACTATTACCTTGAGGTGAATACGCGGCTAGCGGCACCCGCACCATTCTGAAAGCAGCCTTACTTACTTATACTATTTCACTTTTGGAAGGACCCGCCGCCAATCCGTACACAAAATTTAGTCATTAATGTAAATGACACAAGGGACGGTGCCAAAAAGTAACTGGAAGAAAAGTGGCACAACCGTGTCCATAAAAAAGATGATCCTACCAACTACAATCGGCGGGAAATCTTGCATCCTCTTTAGTATAGAATTTGTGCATTCATACGAAAATGCTTTTAGTTAAAGCGACATGGGAAATGAATTGTGTCGTCGCTAGCGTTATATCGGTGTCCATTGGTGGCTACAATACACGAAGAGGGTCGATACTACTCGCATTAAGGTTGTCAGAGCCATTATTCCGTCTAATAATCGCCTTCGACTCGAGCTGACATTATTGTGCACTGGGCTGTGGAGCGCATTTTGAGCATGTCCAGCAGCTCTCTCCTGCGAGATATCGCATGCCGTGAACAGGGACAAAACCAAGCCATTGGGAATATTCCGCCTGAATTATGAGCACCATAAACGGTGCACATAGGCTGGAACATGTGCGTCTTTCTGGTTAGAGCTTCGCTTCCCTCTCCGTGCCTTCATGCTGCTTGGGACCAAACTTGTCTTCAAGCAGCTCTGCTACGAACGAGTTGGTATATTCTAGCTCTAAAGCTTGAATGCTTTATAACGGAAATTTCCACTCCGAGAAATGTACCCGTCCACCCGAGCGTCCGCACAAAGCCAACGCCAGGGAATGTGAGCAGAACCGTTTAGGTTACCATGACAATATGAGCAAACCCAATGTACACATGCACTCGCGCATCGATCAGCCAATATCTTTTTATCTTTCACCAGGAATGAAACCAATAAACCTGTCGATTCGTAGCGCAATCCTCTACCTTTGTCCAAGCTGTACGAAGTTCTATACGTTAAGCTAAACTGTATTCCCTGTATGAATCCTATTAAATTTACCACGTGGCGATACTCTCTGCGGTACTTTTAAACGCTGTAGACGAGGACAATATCAATGAACAAAGCACGCGTTCTTCCTCACTCTCCGAAATGACTCCTTAATGTCTTTAAACCAAATTCAAACCATCAATCCTATAGGACAGTGGTTCTCAAATGGGGGTGCGCGAACTCTTTGGGGTCCGCGAAGCCATCTCTCATCAGTCAAGCCCGGCAATGATTGTTATATTTTTTTCAGATTGAGAGGAAACGTTCCAATTTTCCGATAAGCTTTCTCGTGTATATATATATATATATATATACCCGAAGGAAAAATCCATCAATGTAACGCTGTTTGGCAGTCAATGTTTTCTAGTGGACCGCTGACTGTGCCTGACTGTACGTCAAGCATGTCTGATTGGACAACAAGTTACTCTGACCGACAGTCAAACTCCAGTCAGACCCCGCTTGTCGGCTTTCTGATGGTTTCCTGGTGGCAGTCGGCCGCCGCGAAATGCCATCAGGATGTCCTGGTGGTGATTCTGACTGTACATCGATTGTCTCTGACTGTACGTCAGAAAGCTTTGACGTGCAGACAGAAGTACGGTCAAAGGACGTAAAGTTCGTTCGGATACCACTATTTCGTCAAATCTATGAATACGAAAAGTAATCTAAGCACGAGAAAACGATTTCGGGACGTGAGCCCATAAAACCGCTGACGTTAGAGATGTGACACGCAACCGACCGACAACCTTGATCAGAAGCCCGCCGAAGCCGCCGAAGCGTCGAACACGACACTTCGCACTTCGCTTCGCCCATGGAGGCTTCGCCGAGCTTTCATGAACGATCGCTCTCGACTCGTTTTGTTTGCCCGCTTGCTCCAACCTGTCGATCCTGCCCGGGCTCTACAATATCTTATGTTTTAGTAGAATTTCTACTCGACAAGACCCAGCCTGTTGTGAGTTCCGACGATGTAAGGGACTTTAGCGGTGTAGTTGAAGACGACAAGCTGTACCAGGTCTACTGGGCCGATGACACGCGAACAAACGGATCATTCTACGACGCGAAAGTACTCTACATGGCAGGTGAGTGGAACTGAAGTACGGCGAGTGATGTACGAGTGCTTTCATAACATGCTGACGGCTTAACTGCATTTGCAGCCGAAGCATCTCGTATAAAACGAGTTGTCAAATCGAGCTTCTGTAGTGGTGGCGTAGCACAGCGGTTAAGGGTTGCGATTTGTACGCAAGCGGTCGCAAGTTCGATCTGCGGTGGTCCTGCTTTTTTTTTTTTTCTTTTTCCCGAACTTTTTGTTTTATCGGCGATATTTATGAGTGCGTATAGCTTTACTCTTATATAAATGCTGCCCTTGATGATGAAATTCCCTTGGCAGTGGCAGTTAGACGTCATCTGATGGAGCATCAGATGACGTCTGATGGTCCATCACGTTCCACCAAGGCTACTGACTGGCAGTTAGTGTCCCAAATTACGTAGCTTGATGGAATTTTCAATAGGATATATATATATATATATATATATATGAATAGAACGAGTCTACTTCACACTACCCTTTAGTGGCATCCATTTATTAAATCAATATCATATAATTACCCTACACTTTTCTTTTCCCCTCACCACGACTGGGGTCCTCTATCATCTCCGCCGATCCTCAAAAAGTTCGCAAAACATCAGTGGTTGAGAACCACTGCTTTAGGAAATACTTCCTCGCATCATGGGACTTGGAAGATAAAGTTTCTTGTCAATTTTTGTTAAAACATTCGCATAACATCTGCCCTAAAAGAGAGCTTTAGTATTTCATATACGAGTATTCGAGCGAAAGCAAATGCTTTGCGTTTGAGTTAGATTTCCGTGTTCTACACTGAGCGTGGGCGCAGTCCCCAACTGCCGCTTGGATTAGCGAATGGCAACGAAGCACATGCGCAACGTTAAACACGCAAAGCAAACGCTAACGCATAGCGCTTGCCTTTGCTCGTGTAAGGAAAAGTAAAACTTTCTAGCAAGGTTCAGCCCCTAGCGTGATTCCCAGACGTGCACTTACCTCGAAGAGGGAGATGTTTTCGGAGGGCATGGTCGCGCCCTGCGTGAAGCAGCGAGTGTAGTTGGTCCAGGGCTGGCCGTGCTCTGGACTCACGTACCACGTCCCGTTCTCCGTGCACCACTTGGTGGCCATTTCTGCCGGAGGAAGAAGACGCGACGCACCCATAATTAAGACCTCGGTGAACAGAGTGGTTCCCGGAATGCGACTCCGAGTGGTGCGATCGCCGCGTCCTCAAAGGAGGTTTTTTCGGTTTCCGCTTGACGTTGTCATACAAGCTTAGCATTGTCACCGGCCACCATTGTGGCGGTCTCACAGCAGCGTTGGTAGATGCGAAAGAAGCCTGTTTGACTGCAGGTCACTACTTCGGCTTGACAGTCCGCGGAAGCGTTAGCAGTCAGCATTAGGGACACAGCGACGACAGCGACGATCGCGTTCACTCGTGCATTATGAAGGAAGTTCTAATACCAGCCGCCAGGATATCGATATACGGCATCATGACACGATGGCTTCTTGGACGTCATTGGTTGCCACTTGAGGATCACTTTTTATGCAAGCGCGTGATTGGACAATGAACACACTAATCGACGACGCGTTTCTGGCACCGCAGTAATGAACGAGTTAAAATCACTCTCATCACTGGGAAAAAAAAACATTTCAAAGCATTCTTAGCGTGCACAACGGTTGGTTTATAATTCAGTCTGAGAAGCCGCTTCGTCGAACCCCAAGGTTTTATAGGCTTTAAAACAATATAGATACCCGTACCCGGAATATAGTTTTTTTTTGTTTGTTTGTTTATTGCACGTGCGATATTTTTTTAAGCATAAAGGCATACCTAGTGCAACCAAAGCAGTTATAATTAAGTAAAATACTAATATCAAGCTGTCCGATCGTAATGAGTAGAGCTCAAGCTTCTAAAAAAAATTGTTATTTTTTCTTCGCTTCACTGACATAGTTATATTAATAATGTTTGAGTACAAGTATTTAACATCGAACTAAAATAAATTTAGGAAAAAAAAACCCATAGTCCAGCTTTAAACCCCAAACGTAAATTGTTCTATGAAGGCATTTCTTTTATGAATATAAATTATATAAAAAACGGTATTCTCAATGTCAATGAACAAGTAAAGAGCAATAAATCAACGTTTAGAGGATGCGAGTAAATGTTTGAGCGTGGACGTTATGGCTTTATACTCGCTGGTTCCTACTTTCAAGTTGAAAAGGAAGTAAGTGTATTGCACGTCGTTTCTGGTCTAGTCCACATGGAGTCTGCGTACACAAAATGGAAACGTTGCGATACGGGTTGCTTGCGAGCGTACATAATGACATTGCATCACTGCACGGCATTGCACAACGCCCGCCAGTCGATATCTAAAAGAGTCTTTCACCACGTAATGCGGATGAGAACCAGAACCAAGGGATCGCTATAGCGCTTGTGTGCATGTAGACTTTACCGGTGTATTTGAAAGCTTTCACTCGCGGAATCCCGGGCGGGCCCGCGTGGGCAGAAAGTTGATTTCAGAGCCGGGTGGCGAAATCTGCTCGTTCTTGGTGGCAAATCTGGATCAGTCGGGGACCTATATTTAAGTTTTCCACAAGCGACGAGTGGATTTCGCACCTTGCTCTACAATGCACTTTGCCGCCTGCGCGGATCCGACCGCGAATCCGCCATTGTAAGCGCGCCATACGACCCTCGGGTACGTCAAATAGAACAGAATATTGAACTTAACGAATGCTCTATAGACCAATGCAGCTCACTGGCGCCATGCCACAGCGGTGGCGCTACTGTTGGTTTCCGCTCATGCGCAAACCGCTTCACTCCTCCCAAATTTTGTTTGTGCGCACACGCAATGACTACGTGTGGCAAATGCGGACGCTTGTTTGTGAACACTGCGTTGGTGTATACTGTGCTATGACAGCGGTCGTGAGTACTTAATACTATCATGAGTACCGAATGCTTCTCGTGTTAAGTCCTAAGACAATTCTTATGTGGCTCGTCGAAACAATAAAATAACTTTATAGACATGAACCCTTAATAAACAGCTCGGTACTTTACGCTTTAGCTCTTCACAATATCAAGATAAAGCAAAGCATCGCATCAGTTCATCAAGGCCATCCAAACGTTTCGCGTCACGTGGTATCAATGCCCTCATGGCGTAAATCCTGCAGATTCTTTACATTTCGAGCTAAAACTTCATGGTCGAATGGTATGATAAAAAGATAATGTGTTTTTTTTTTTTTTAATAAAACAAATTTTGGAAAAAAAGAAGAAAAAAAAAGTTTGTGTCGGTTGCGTGAATGCCGTCATAATTGTCTGTATACGAAACTCGACGGACATTAAATGAAAAGAGGACCCTCATGATCAGAACGCCAAATGACTGATATGGTTTACTTAACTTTTTAGTTATTCGTTTGATGGGCCATACTTAGATTCCTCTGTAGACGAGCATTACTATTAGAGGTCAGAACAATTCAAAGAATTCAGATAGGTAATGGTTTTAGTCATCATTCTATTCGTTCTTTTTTTTTTCTCCCGATTTAGAAATTCTACGTAAAAAGAGCGCCTGAAGTCATAACCACAGTCACGCTTAAGGGAGTGGCGATGTCCTTTGAGTCACGTCTTAATTTTCTCACCCTTGTGGCCTTGGCGCATCCACCAAAAACGTGCTGCCGAAGTTGTAATGACGCAAGTGAAATGAGTGTATTCATCTTCTAGGCGTCATTGTGAGCAGTACTTGGGGAACAATTGTTTTCACGAAAGTTTTTAAACTTTAAAAGTGGGATAGCTGTTTGCGTAATACATAGAAATTAGGACCCTTTGGGTGATTTTTATTAATCTCGCCTCTAATATTCATTGCCGTCAATACAGTGGTTGCAATATTACCCATAAAGGCAATAATTAAAAGGTTATTTGAACAGCTGTCAATTAATAAGCGAATCGATTATTATGGCTACCTTCCCGCCGAATGTCCCGCATACAAAATATAAAGAAGCCATGCACGTAATTCTCACCCTCTTTTCTGTAAAAATAGGTTGATACTCCAAAAGACCACCAAATTTAGGAAATGTTTTTAAAGCTTTATGGGTTTGTTTTAAAACACCGTGAAATCAAAACTAATGGGGTGTTTGCAGGTTTGTTATGCAGCCAGGGTTACATAATTTAGCAGGATAATTGTCACAGTAACATTTTACTCTTACTTTCTTTATTAGTTTTTATGAATCTAAAATATTGATATAGTTTCAATCAGAAACGTGTCAAGCATTATCCAAAAAAAGCCAAATTTGAAAATTTTAGAAACATTTCGTGCGCTTGGGATGCACGGTGGTTCACTAAAGTCTAGAACCGCAATTCTATAGTATTAAAAAAACGCGTCGGCCTATTTTTAGTGTTTGTTATCATTAGCGTTTTTGCAACACCACTATAGCGCCCGTTGCACGAATGGTAACTAAAATGGCACCACCACAATTCGAACGCAGCACAAAACTTTCGAGCATTCACTTACTTGGTGTTTTTTTGGGGGCTCATAGAAGTTTCTCATTGAAACTATATGTTTATTTTTATCAATTAAAAGTTGATAAAACTATCTAATTATCCGACTTATAGTGACGATCCTCCTACCATAGTATGTTCCCCTGACCGTATGTATGCCTTACCTACGCAGGCCGTATTACTGTATCATTTGCGGCTTTCTTATTCAAACAAATCTGTAAAGCCCCCCCCCCCCCCCCCCGGGTAAAAAAACAAACAAACAAAAAGAAGTGCATATACATGATACGACATCTTTGAAGTCTCAATTCCTGGTGATCCGTACGGATAATCATTCTAGGGAGTCCTCCGAAGAAGAAAACGCTGCAACTTCATGCACCGAGAAAGTGAGGGACAGAGCGCGAGGGGACGCTAAGCTCTGATACACGAATGTGACCAAGACTCGGGTGTTGCCGTAGCATCTATTCGTTTAATGAAAACAAAAAATTTAAGGTTTCGGTCGGTAGGGTTTAATCGTTTTGAGTTTTTATGGTCGCGTAGAGTACTTATCATAGACTATTATAGTGATATGTAAAAAATGGCCACTAAAGCCCTTTACCGGCCCAGCTGTTAAGATTCACAAAGCCCGCTAACTGGCGCAGTGGCGCCCAATTATCTATTGATTTGTTATAATTGTACTATTATAAATGCTTTACTTTTATTTACCTATCTCTTTAACTAGCAGACGCTTCGAATGTTTTCAAAAATATTACAACGACTGCGACTGGGGCTTCGGCAAGGAGCACGAATTGACAGCCGCCATAACGTCGGCCAAGGTGGCGGGGGCCGATGCTGCCTGATGTTGTTGCCATCGTGTGGAGTTCCCGACGTTCTTTCGTTGTAGCTAAGATGAGACGGTTAAAGCGCAACCACGTGGAGAGTGTTTCGAGCGCCTCTTGGGCATCAGCTTCGTCGCCGGAAGGCCCTTTTCTGCTTCCCATAAGCTGAAGCGAGCTGACGCTACAAGCACGAAGACGTCGATTTGAGCGACGCTTCCACTTCACGAGCGAGCGTGCATTACACGTTCGTTGTTTTCGCTTGAACTGTCAAGCTTGCTCTCGTAGCGCCTCCTTTGCTCGCCCTTACTGTGGCATGCACATTTATACGGACGCCTGCAGAACAGTTATCTTTGTTATGGTTGTCTTTGTGGTAAGAAGATAGCTGTGCATTACTCAATTTTCTCAATTATTTTCTCATTTGGGTGCAGGGGGTTCAATCTTATATTACATAATGCGCATAATCTGCTCTAGAATTTGGAATTGAAGCGCGCACTTAAACGATTCATTCTTACCTAAATTCGACATTCTAGTTCGTCACGGAAGACTAGCCGCCGAATTCAGAAACCTCACTCAAACTACACTCAAACTGAAGGGCCCCTCCACTTCCTCGAGGAAGGCGCGAGGGCCGGCGCTGGCCAATCGCGAGGACGGATCCGCCGTCGCGATTCGCCAGCGCCGGCCCTTGAGCCTTCCTCGAGGAAGTGGAGGGGCCCTTCAGTTTGAGTGTAGTTTGAGTGAGGTTTCTGAATTCAGCGGTAGGTGGCACGAGCTACTGCCTGATACGAACGGAATCAATTATATTAGTTATCCACCCACTCGTATAGCAGCCATC